AAAAAGAATTTAAAAGAGTGATTTTTGTGTACTTTCAACTGATCAGGGAAAAGATCAAGACAGCCACAGAAAACAAATACAAAACAACAAAATGGAAAAACTACATAAGAACTCAAGGATATGCTACAAAAGCAATCTGACAAAGCAAATGAAAACTTAGAAATCATACAAAAGCACCAAATAGAAATCCAGAAGATAAATACTAAGGTATTAGAAATAATGCATTGAATTGTATTAAATAATAATTGAAAGAGTAAAGAGAATTGAAAATATAGAAGACCAAATCAGTGAATTTGAAGACAGCTTTCTCAATACCAAAGTACATGAAGAATTAGCCTTAAAAAAAGATTTTGAAAAATCCAAAGAAGGCCTAAGGATAATGTAGGGCATGATAGGAATTCCAGAACAGGAAGAAACAAACCAAAAAGTACAGAGAAGATTGTCCAAGATCTGCTGGAAGAAAACTTGCCCAGCATCACAAAACAGTAGAAAATAACCACTCAAGAAACTGAAAGAACTCCAAACGGGATAGACCTCACACACACACAAAAAATCAGCAATACATCATAATCAAACTTTACAAAATCAAAACAAGGGGGAAATTCTGAGAGAAGTTTGAGAAAAACAAAATTTTACTACAAAGAGGAACCAAGAACAAGCTTGGGTTTTTTCAGCAGAAACCATATAGGCAAGAAGTATATGTCTGAAAGAGAAAAAAAATTGCCAACCAAGAATCTCATATCCAGCAAAGCTGCCCATCAAATACAATGGGGAAATAAGGGCACTTATTTCAGACAATGAGAAATTAAAAGTGTTCGTAGAAACAAGACCAACCAAGTTCTTTGAACAGAGAATAAACTGTTAACAGCAGGCATCTATCTGAGGTCAACACACAAAACAACAAAGCTCAGAAGTCAACCCAATCCCTGTAGCAAAGTAAAAGAAACCTACAGACTGAAAATAGGGACCCAGAGACATCAAGCTGCAATGAAGATAATTGAAACTTTTTAAAAAGGGAATAAGGCAGATTTAAAACATTTGAGTGGAGAGGAAGTCAAATAGATCTCAAGGGAGAACAAACGATTTTAAACTTGGAAAGAAATTAATAAATGAGATAGTTTATTGTGCCAGCCTGGC